AAGACTTTATAAATCATTCCCACACTCTTGAAGTGTTTTAAACAAACCTACGTAATTTTAACAACATATGTATTTGTACTGTACAGTACTGCAACATTTTACTCAGAGCTGTAGAACAGCAGCTCGGTTCCGGTCTGGCTCGATTTCTGCTCTGCAGATCTACCCAGCAGCTACGAAGCCCAACGCCCCATCCAGGTTGATGTGCATGTGGATAACTGAGCTTCAGGAAGCTTCAGGAAATATTTACGACTTTCCTGCCCATTTTGTGATCTTAACAGATAGCATAGATTTGCGTCGCAAAAGGTTCCCTCCATTTCGTCAGAAAGTAGCAGCTGGAAACACTGTTGGCTTCTGGGTAACATAGTTCTTTTGACTGGTGATACAGTAGGCTTACTGAAAGAAAACTATCACCAGAAGCACTGTTGTCTTCTGGGTTGTGCACAGTTGGCTTCTGGGTAGTGTAGTTTTTTTGGGACTGGCCGTACAGTATAGGCTTATTGAAAGACAACTACAAAATGACGGTGCCTGTCCAAAGGTTTTTTTTTCTGTTAACTTTTTGTCTTGTACCGTCCCAATCATGTGAGTAATATTAAAGTTGACAATTGTTGAAAAACCGCGAAAGAGCGAGTCCGCGAAAGTCGAACCACAACGTAGCGAGGGACTACTGTACTTCTACAGACTTGAAACGTTGCTTTAGGCATCACAATTTTTCTTTGGAGAAAGTGCATACATAACACTAAAACAGTTTGTTCAAACGCTGCCAACAGGGTTGATGTGGAGCTCAGTCTCGGCTGTCATCAATTCCACTTGGATTAATAGATTTTTTTTCATAGACTGGTGTCTGATTCAAAGTGACTCAGATTTTTCAGACAAAACTCCACACGTGTGCAGTCTTTTAAAGAACACATACATGAGGTCATTATTTCAGCAGGAGAGGAAAAAAGTGCACTTAGCCCAGTGTCTTACTCTGTAATTGACTAGGGAATCAAGACGTGAGGCTAAGAGGATACTGGGATATATACGAACAAAATGGAAGAAGTCTTTTCAACCAGCAAGGCTTCCAAATTCTTTATTGTTACTCTATGCTACACATGCCTTACGGGGTTTTTACTTAAGACCCTGATCAGTGAGTTCTTCACTGGACTTAATTGTTAGTGCAATCCCAGATGATCCCCTAAAGACAAGGCAATCAAATTTAGTATGTTTCCCTGCCCGGATTCTTGTTTGTTTTTAGTCACGCTAGTGGCATGGTTGATTAGATTGTTAGTAATTCAAAATGTCAAAGTCCATAAGATTTTCTACAATTGCTCAAACAATAACAGAAATTTAGAACAGATCCAGGCCGAGATGTATGCACACATATTTTGGATTTGGATGTCATAGATTTCAACTTTTTTTTTTTAGATTGTTTTTCCTAGACCTGAATGTTTTGCTGATAGAAAAAACACATACAAAGAATTTGGTCTACAAGTGTGTTTTTATTGTTTTAATCAACAAAAGTTCAATATAATGCATACAACATAAAAAAAAAGATACTTTCTGAATATTTATTTAGTGGCGCTAAAATTGCTAAAAGGCTTGTTAAACTTGCCAAGACATCTTAACTTCTTATTAGTGACCCTAACTGACTGCAGCTTGTTGCCTCTCTGTGCCCACATTAAGAATTTGCTTGACAGCACTCCTCTGAGAATATCCGAAGGGGCTTTTTCTAATCTAAAAATGAGCGGTGTAGTTTTGCACATGCCAGGAAAGTCATCAGGAGCCATATCTAAACAATTTTAGATTCCAGTGTCAGTATAAATTGCTGTTTACATGTGGAACATTTTAGTAGGTGTAGCTACTGATCCAAGGTCTGAATAAAGACCAGAAGTGCCAACTTTGAAGGTCAATGACTGGATGGCCAAGATCAATACAAAACTGCTAAGGCATTGCAAAAAACCATGTCGTAGACAGAACTAACATTGCAATGCCTCATTGCAGTCTGAACCGATTTTAGGGATGCACAACCCAACAAACAACAAATCTTTCTGTTACTATGCTTGTTATTTTTCTCTTAAACAGTGTATAAGTTTATAAAATAGAACAGTGTGTTGTCGCTAATACCAACAAAGAGTGCTAAAATTAATTAATTTATAAGATTTTAAAACAGACACAAAGGAGACCAGTGTCTCCCCTACATTACTCGCTTTGGCAGGACGCTGTTCAATGATTTTTGTCGGTGGGGATGGCTCAGTGTGAAGGAAGCAGAGCACTACCTAGAATTTTAGCTAGCATGTCTGTATTGCACGCCTCTAGATTAGTGCTATGTTAGTGACGGCAGTTGTCGTGGGGATGGGGGGTTGGTTCGGTAGGCAGTGCGCTCGGTTCTGTTGACAGGACAGTGCGTCCTGCTTGTATAATGGTAGGGGAAACACTGGAGACTTCTGTTACACATTTAATGCGCTGAAGCTCTAAGTCAACCCGGCTGAGGTGATTTGTCCTCCACACGCCAATGTTCACTTCGTTTCTAAAAGGTCACGTCACTGCAGGATGTGTGTTGAGCCAAAAAAAATTATCAGCGACAACGAGAGCACACAGCTTGTTTGAATCTCTTCCTCTTGGTTTGACTTGCAGTTTCTGCTGGTGTAGTCGTTGGAGTCAATATTAACACTAAAGGATATATATTTCTGCGCCTAAGATTATAGTGAAGGTGTTTTTTTCTCCCTCTCTCTCTCTCTCCAAAAGCTCACGGTGTTCTGTCTGTTAAAGTGCCAGTTTCAAATTTGTCATAAATATCTGCAGATTTAAATATTACTTCAATATGATCAAGGGTTTGATGATTTGGATGTTCTAAGCTTGCTTATATTTGAAACCTGTATTATTGGGGGAGTATTTAGAGGTTAGAGAAGGTGGGCCTAGGAAGATCGCCTGCTCGATCCCCCGGGCCGACAACATCAAAATGTGGGTTGGGAGAGTGAAAACCCACACCTGCCTCCATCCTCATTTTCCTCACTCTGGGCCTTAAAGCAAGACTCTTAACCCCCACCTCTCCTGGGTGCCGTAGAAGGCAACTCTCTGCTCCACACAGAGGGCTGTGGTAACTCAGTGGTCTGTAGTTCCATCAGGCAGGAAGTCTTGCATAAAAACGATTGGCACGTCTTCGTGTAAGTTAGTTCACTGTGGTGACCCCTGAGGAAAGGAGCAGCTGAAATAAGAAGGTTTACCTGTATTATCACCAACCATGCAGTTATTTAATGTCCAAGTACTTTAAGCTGCACAAAGGTCCATAAATTATTTAAAAATATAATAACCCATTTAATATGTTTTTCCTTCATACAGATTTGTTGCATGTAAAACCATCAACAAAGGTGATGTTTTAAAAATTATAGCCCACATAGTCAAAAAACTACCATAGCCATATACATTTTTATTTACCAGACTGACAGACCTCTGCCCAAAAATAACTTTATCTCACTCATAAGAATAGATTCCAGTTAGTGAATTGTTATTATTTTGTTTTGGAGCCATAGACAGGGGGGCGCGACAATTTTCTTTCTCCTTTCAGAACCACTGCGAGAGAGTCCAGTTAAAGAAATAAGCTCCAAAGAGAACAGTCAAGACTGGTTTGTTTGTTGCGGATGCCAAGGAGAGAAACTTCTAAGTAAATATTATAGTCTGATGAGATAAAGACTGAGTTGTTTGGCCTCAGTAATCAGAGGTACAATGTGAGGTACTCACTCCAGCACCACACCAGCACTCCATCTACATAAACAACGCTAAAGTGGAGCAGATCAGCAGCTTCAAGTTCCACGGCGTTCACATTGCTGAGGATTTGTCTTGGACTTTACATACAGACACTGTGGTCAAGAAAGACCAGCAAAGACTCTACTTCCTAAGAAGACTAAAGAAGTTTGGAACAGCAGCATGCTCACAAACTTTTATAGGTGCATCTATGAGAGCCTGCTGACAGGCTGCATCCCAGGGTAGTACAGGAACTGCACCAGTCAGAACCGGAAAGCACAACAGAGGGTGGTGCAAACACCAGAGGACATCACTGGTAGCAATCTCCATGCATCCAGGACGTCTACCACAGCCGGTGTCTGCATAAAGCATGCAGCATCAGTGAGGACCACGCCCACCAAGCACAAGGACTCTTCCGTCTTCTACCCTCAGGCAGACAAGAGTCTGCCATTGCACACGAAAAAACTCAAAGATAGTTATTATCCACAAGTTGTCAGATTACTGAACTCTTGATAATAATACTGACACCTAATATGACTAATATTAGCTGTGACACCTAATACGTCTACCGGTAATATTATCTGTGACAACTAATATGTTTATTGCTGCTGCACTATGTGGCTGTATCATGTACTGTATGTCACTACCTTAACGTTATAATTCCATCTCAATGTTACTCACTACCTGTGCAACCTGTCACACAACCTGCGTATTTTATAATAGTTATGTGCAATATGTATCCTGTGCATTTGAGCTTATATTACTACCTTAAAATACTTATTCATACAAATTCATCCTACTTGCACCATTCTATTCTCCCATGTTATTTACGATTTCTCTTTAGTAACTTGTAAATAATTAATCGTTTAACTTTTTCTACTTTATTTTTGTACCCTTATTGCATGCTTTAGTATTTTCTTGTTTGTTTGTTCTTTGTTTTGTTTTTTAGCTAGTCAAATCGTTTTGTCATCCTGAACATTTCAGTTAACCTTGTGGTGACCTGCATATGACAAATAAGCAACTCGAAGGTGGTCAACCCCAAGGACACTGGAAGACTGCACAGAAAATGCAGCACCTTAACCAGACAGTGGAAACTTAGACTCAGCAAGTTCCATAAGGACAATAACCCAAAACAAACATTAATGCTGGTTCATATACACAAGTCTGTGTGGGAGTCTCCTCCCCCTCTGTATTTGGGGGCGGGCCGGACAGCCCGTCCTCTGACGTCAGAGGCGGCTTCGTTATTTAAACTTGAATCAGGAGCGGAGGAGTAAAGTTTTCAGAGCCGGGACAGCGTTGCCTAGCAGCTGGGAGGAGGACTCTGGCTACTTCACGCTCCCCACTTTTGTTTTTTTAAAGCCGAGCAACCGTGGACTCCTTCTTTTGACTGTTCCTCTCCCTAAAGACATCATTACCGAACATGCCACAGACCGTGACACTGAAGGGACCCTCTCCGTGGGGCTTTCGGCTGGTGGGAGGACGGGACTTCAGCACACCGTTAACTATCTCCAGGGTAGGTAGCGTCGTCCCTGCCGGTCCGCGTCAATCCATTCATTCAGCTGAGCGTCAACAGAGTACACGTCTGCTCAGCTTTTAGGCGTGGAGCTGTTTTAATCGATACAGACTGAGATTAGACAAATGTATAAACTTTAAATTAGACGTCACAACGGTCCATTGTCCTCCAAGCGGCGTATCAACACGAGCAGCTTATCTTAAAGGGACAGATGGCGCCGTCTATTTTCTGGCAGGTGGCTTTCATTGCAACTGTGCGACCATCAGTTCTGCTTTCACTCAAAATAACTTTAAACATTTTATTACTTTTATGTCTAAACACAACAGTGGTGAGCTCCACAACAATTTGAACAATGTTGTCCAATTAAAAATCAGTTTTTATGTATGTATGAATAATGTAATTTGACATGATTTAACATTTTGTTAAGGTAAAAAAAAAAAAAGTGCGTTATTATACGAGCTTTTCAAAGTGATGCCATTTGTGGAAACACCATTAAGATCATCATCTTATTCGACCAGATCTACTTCATCATTATGAATATTATTTGCAAGTGTAAGTCAAGTCAAATTTATTTATAAAGCACATTTAAAACAGCAGCCATTACCAAAAGTGCTTAGAAATATCAAGGCAGTAAAAAATAACAAGATGTAATTAAAAGCAAGAAAATAAAACGTGAAAAACACAAAAAATAAAGAGAAAGAATGAAATGGTAAATCAAATCATATTGTGTTTAAATGTCAGTGAATACAGGTGTGTTTTTAGGCGAGATTTAAAAGCAGAGAGTGACGTGATCTGTTGATTGTTGGGAGGCAGATTGCTCCAGAATTTAGGGCACATGACTGAAAAAGCCCAATCTCCTCTGAGCTTCAGCAAAAGCAGCTGATCAGATGATCTCAGAGCCTGAGAAGGAACATAAGGCTGAAGTAGATCAGAGAGGCATGAAGGTGCAAGGCCGTTAATGTATTTAAATGTCAACAGGAGAATTTTAAAATCACTTCTGACACACACAGGGAGCCAGTGAAGGGAGGACAAAACTGCTGAAATGTGCTCAAACCTACGAGTTCCTCTTGATGGATGATCTGCAGCATTTTCGATGAGCTGGAGATGTGAAAGGGACACCTGACTGACCCCAACATGAAGCACGTTACAGTAGTCCAGCCGAGTTGTAACAAATGCATGGACTAAATTTTTTTTCAAGGTCGGATCTGGTCAACGTGGACTTAAGCTTAGCTGGAAGAAGATTTTTGTAGAGCAGAGCTAATCTGTTTATTAAACTTAGTCAGTTTACAACCATCCCTAGATTTGCTTAAGATATGGCTGAAGACGTAAAAAATTTGATGCCACTCATGCCTTGATGCCATCAAGACATTTTAACAGAGGGTGAATGGAGCAAGAACTGTTGAAGGTGTAAGTTGTAGAAAGCCTCATGAACTTCCCTGACCCTCACTATATGGGTCAAGAGTCAGTGGATCTGGCAGTGGCCATTATTTCATCCCAGCCAGGGAAGACGCAGCCTGGCGCTGCAGGGCTAACAGGAGGGACACATAGGTGGTGGGGGCAGGCGCTGACATTTGTTTTTCATCAGAGCTCGTTGGTGCTGCTGAGGGATTCCAGGTGTTCTCCTCAGCTGTATCACTGGCCCCAAAACAACTATTTAACTACAGGGTGCAATCACTCTGAACCAGTGGTGCATTTTTTTTTATTTTTTTACATTTTCAAGCATAAATAGTTTGAAAGACCCAGAGAAACTTACCAAAATAAAACGCAAGAAGAAAAAAAAGTTTGATGCTGTGATTCAGCTACTTTGACTCAGACTGTGCAGAAGCCTTGACGTATAAATACCGGCAGCTTTGTGGTTTCATTGGTCTCACATTAGTGAGACTCAGTTGCTAACTTGGCACCTTCAACTCTCTAAATCACAGTGAAAGCTATCTCCACTTGGCACCCAGGAACCAAATATGAACCGCACTCTTTCAGTGATACCTTCTTTGGGAAGAGCAGAAGATGCTTTCGTTTGATACAAGGCTGCCAGACTTTGTTCTATTTTTTAATTAATTGAGCAGAGACTGCTCATATCATCAAAGAGCCGACAGCTTACAGAATGTTGCTTAATGCAGCTCCGGGGCCTTTTTGAAAACATTTGGTTTCGGTGTAATCGATAACATAGTTTCCCGACAGTTCCATTTTGTACATGCCAAAATGAAAAGCATGGCATGCACAAAAGCATTATTTTGCATAATGAGGGTTGCAGAACTGAGTCATGATGGCAGCTCAGGTCATTTCAGATTGCACCTGCACACGGCAAAAACAAAGATGGCAAGTAAAATCTATGTTTTACAGTGTACAGATGAGATTTTTATTTTATTTCATTCTAAATACTTGGATTGAAAGTTAGACAAGGAAGCAGCTGTTGAGATGCAGGCATATTTCTCAATGTGTCATGTTGGAAGCATACAAATACACAATGTGTTGGCTGAAAATCTCAGGTCAGGATTACACCGACTCCTAAAGACTCGCAAACAAAAAACACGTTAATGAACCGAGTGTCAGTTTGCAATTAAACGTCAATTTACAGCAACACGTGGATTTTAATTCAAAGAGTTAATGATATTTAATCTTTGCAAATTTCTGATTAGACAGTAAGAAGTTGTAAAATATAAATTAAACATTTTTAGTTTACATCAAGAGTTCATGCTCAATAATTCGGGTGAAAAATCCATCAGAGTTCAGTCAGGTCATCTGGAGGTGGTTGTTTTTTGGGTTTTTTGTTGTTGTTGTGACGTTTCATCCTTCATCCAAAGGATGAAGTCTGAGGAGACGCAACAAACTGAGTCCCACAAGCAGCACACCCACATTGTGGAGCAACAGTTTGCTTGTGATAAAATGGTTTCTGGGGCCCGCCCTCTCCCCCATCGACTCCTCTGAGGCACCCATACCCAAAGTGGTTCAAAAGTTTCTCAAAAAGATTATTTTGCAAAACTAGGGTTGCAGAACTGACCCATGATGGCAGCTCAAGTTGTTTCAGATTGCACCTGAACAGTTATACTGCAAAACTAAAGTAAAAAAATATATATATAGATTTCATTCCAACTTTGAAGCTAGACTCAGGACTGAGTTTGTTGTGGTTCCTCTGACTGATGAAGTCCTTTTTGGATGAAGGACGACATGTCTCCAAAAAAAAAAGAAAAGAAGCCATCCAGATGACCTGACTTGAACTTTGTTGACTTTTAGTTTACAGTGTGAGCATTGGTCAAATTATGAGTATTTTGTTCTGGCATGTTCTTAGTCAAAAATATCTCCTGAGCTCATAATCCATCACATGCACTTCCTGCTGCACACGCATGTCCAGAACACCAGTTTGAATGGGACGAATGGTGGCACTTAAAGACATTTATTGAGGCAGAGGAAGAATCTGGCAGACGATTCCTGCAGTTGCCAGGGGGCAATTTAACATGCCATAGAAATAGCTAAAATAATACTGTCTGTAGCTTTGATTTATTTCTTTTTAATGAACAGTTACTTTACAAGTAAAACATCTCTCCTTTTTATGTTTTTAATTAAAACCTAAAGAAACAGCCACACTTTAAAACAAAGCTGTAAATACCAGGAAACAAGTTCTGATGGCGGCAGCTGGTTCCTTTCCCAAGGTGTTAATGTTCCCGGCTAAGCTCATTAGTCCCCTGCCAGGACATTAGAACCTGCACCATTTGATGGTGAGTCTGTTTGACTGTAGAAACATGTGTCCTGAGTGCACATGGTTGGTCAGGTTGTTGAATGTCTTTGTGTGTGAATGAAAGAAACTTGAGGCAGAACAACTAAAAAAATAAAAATAAATCCCTGATATCACCAGAGAAGCATTTCAAGTGGAGGTGGTGAATGTGGCAGAAGTGGTGTAAACCCTTTTGTACGTCAGTGTCACAGTAAATTCCAGACAGAAGGTGACGCAGGACCCTTGTCCTCTCTGCCAACAGGCAAACAGTGGACCTCTGGACAGGAATTCAGATGTGCGTGTTGGGTAAATAATGATTGGCGCAGTGTCCAACAACCTTTTTAACACATTGTAGTGTCTGAAAGGATGTTGAATACCGATTGGAAACTTGAAAATGGCCAAGCTTTTATTGGTGTAATGGGAGCACCTTGCAGATACTTTTCCATCTGAAATGTTTATTTCAATTTTCTAAACCTTGAAGCAACAACTTCATTTGGTTTTGTACTCCTCTGTCTCCTTTAAAGACCAGAGCTGAGCCTGTTAGTGCTAAGCATCCATTCTTGTTAAATAGTGAAACAGATGTGAAATGAAAGCATTTTTTGTTCTTTTTTTTATTATTTTTATTTTGGATACTGTCGATTTTTATTTTATTTACAGTAATTGAGTTCTGTCAGAGTTCTCTTTCTTGTCTTTAAAACATTTGTGTCTTTTGTTGATGGGATGGGATTCATTACTTTGTATGCTTTGAGGGGGGATAAAAAAAAACCTTCCAGAAATCTTTGTTTAGTAGTATTTGAAAACAAACGTCAATTTTAAATTGGATAAAAGTCGTGTAAAGTGTACTGGGAGTATGAAGTCTGGATGTTATTGTTGACACATGGCTGACTGGAAGTTATTTGTACCTGCAACACATACCGACCTTCAAATATTGACTTTTCTGTCTGATGAAATTGGCAAGCATCCCCTTTGTAGCAGTTTCCCAAAATATGTTATTGAAGAAGTTCACAAAGAAGTTAATTCACACCACCAAGCAACACAGAGATGCAATTTATCTTTTTATAGACATTTCTGGTTCGGTCTCGATTAGAACGGAGTACAACCTTGGGAGAGACGGTCAAAAGTTTAAAGCTTCCTGCCTGGACCCAAAAAGATGCAAAAGTATATTCCCCAAAAAATGACAACGCAGTTGTTTACTTGAGCAGTGGAATATTTCTCTATGCAGACAAATAAAAAACAGGATCCAAACTCGGCAGACCTTTTGGCATCTGTTTTATAGCGAATTGCCAATAAC